TAGCTTGCTGGAACACTGCCAATAAGATACTACATAAAAGAATTTGGCAAGATGCTTGACACATACTGAACACTCATTAAATGAGAACAATTATTTCTCTACTACAGAAGTAATCACAGACTTGTTCATTTGTTTATGCAATTAACACTTACTGCGCATTTACCACATACTGCACATTGAAATCACCCAGAGAATTCAGAAGTAATCTCACTGCCTGGGCCCCAATTCATTCCAAAACATAACAAATCAAACGTGCAAACAAAAACTACAGCCAGTGCCCGGAGAACAGTGGCTGGATGATCCCAGAGAAGCTTTTGAAAAGGCATCTCTTCGTCCCAGGCTTCTTTGGTGCATGCATCTCCCTTGCTTTCTGATCTTAGGAGGCACCAACCATGGCTAACGCTGCACTGCATGGTTCCATGTCTGGTATAGAATAGAAGGTGAAGCTTATCATTGCAATGAGAAGTGAGTTATGTTTCAACAATTGGGCCCTCTGATTCCCGGAGCACAGTATGTCAAGACTGAAGAGTAATTATACAGCCATCCTGTCTGTTACAAACTCTCATAAATGTACATTTCCCTGAACACATTGCCCAAGCCTCAAGGCTAGACGTAATGGTTTTGCGCAGCAGTTTCTAAGGGGAGGAGTGACATAAGCAAAGCTTTTCAATTAATTAAAAGAGACACTCAGGCACACTTCATGCCATTCTTTAATCTCCATTCTTCTGTGATAAATGTGGAACGACAGGAGCAGGCTCAGGCTAACAAGCTGGAGGCAGGGCCTACAGAGACATACGGAGCAGCCCTCAGCCACCACAGCTAGGCCCAGGACACTGGGAAAGGAAGAAGAGGGAAATGAACACCCTGGCTACGCTGAGTCACTCATGGGTCACTGAGAGTGCTCTAGTCCTAGCAGCCACTGAGACAACAGCATATGTTCCAATTAAGCAGTCAAGAAAATGGTAACAATCATGACTTGCTGTAGGTATTCTAGTGTCAAGCACTGTGGCGGAGGTTTCTCATGCAAAATTTCATTATGCTGTGACAGTCTCAAAGATCCTTGCCTCCTAATAATAACCCAGTGTGGCCTTTTCACATGGAACCCATGCTGACCTCAAGGACAGATAGAAAATGACAGAGGTAGTTACCTCTCTGTGACTTATCTGAGGTCAGATCATAAGAGACATCACAACTTCCCACAGAATTTCTCGGATCACATGCCAGCACCTTGTCAAGTGGACGCTCAAGCAGACCTGTGACATGGCCCACACAGACAAGAAAGGAAGAAAGAGCTAGCCATGTGGCGAGGCCACCTAGCAAGTGGGTTTTCTGATCCTCATCTGGCTCTGAAATCTTTCGGCTCAAGTCTCAGACATCACAGACCAGAGAAAAGCCATCACCACTGGCTTCTTTAGAGTTCTTGATCCAGAGACTCCCAGATAAGAGTTGTCTTGAAAATTAAGTCAGCAATACCACAGTCTGGGAGAATGAGGCAGGAGCATGACAAGTTTGAGTCAACAAGAGTCTACCTCAAAATAAAAAGTACTAGAGATGTAGTTCTGTACAAAGGTCCCAGTATCAGTCCCTAGTTCTGAAACAATTATTTTCCCTATGTGGTTATTTTATTAAATAGAAACAGAATTAATACTAGTATGGAATCTAGGTTTACAGATTTGAGGGGTAGCAGCTCTCAGTCTGCCCTGCTATTTCTGACAGATAAACAAAAGGCACATAACCTAGTTTCTATCTCTTTTGTTAGGGGAAAAGCAATCATTCAATGGGACTCTTTTTTAAGGACTTTGGTCTCCCAAAGATACTATGCACCTCCTGTGTGGCATCTGCCACTCCCCTTTGTAGGTAGGACCTGGGGACTTTAGCATCAACACAGTGCTTTAGCGTCTCTGTTACAGTGCTTCTAACCTGGCTGAACAACACACGCTGAACCTGAACTCTATTCAAAATACTTAGTAGGCTGTCTAGAGCAAGTGTTCAATAAAAGTTACCTATTCCAATTATTACTATCAAATATGTGCTGAGAAACTTCCAACATTTTAAGTGATCCAAGCAAAGCTAAGTTCCAATGACAGAAGTGATTCTTTGGGAGACAAGCACTAAAACCTTCTATCCCAGGGATGTCCTGGGTGCTAACACCATAACCACAGTCCATAGGATCCAGCTATCACAGATTTCCACCATCCTGTGGGGCACGCACAGACAGAAACTTGGCTTTTTCCTATGAGAAGAAATGTAAGGCAAGGGAGGTCTCCTCCACCCTGGTCATATACATAGGGCTTCCGAGCCACACTTGCCTCCATCCTATTTCTTAATTCCGTTACAGTCATACCACTTTGTCAGCACACACAAAGCTGCTTAGATCCTGCCAACACTTGCTCCAATGCCTTCCCTTATGGCTCACTCCTTCTTGGCTTTAATAAGCTGTCATGTGTTTTATAGTCCCCTTAGGTGAAACCTACTTAAAGATGTCTTGATTTCCACCTTGCCCTGCACCAATCTCTGTGTCTTCTTTCTTTTACCCCTTAAATAGAACACAACTTTCTGTGTGAAATTGTCTTCAGAGTCTAAAATACTTCCACAACCTCCTACCTCTAGGTAAAGCTAAGAAAGATGGAACTTGGAGGCACAGCCCAAGCTCCTACAACAGCCTGCTTCCAAAGGAGCACAACTGCTAGCCCTGCAAGGGGCTGAGCTAGATTACAGGGCTGAGTCAACAAGGACCAAAATGCAGAGCCTGTCCTCAAAAGGAACCCTCCTCCATCTAGTTGGATTTTGAAGCAGTGCTAATAAGTAGATTAAAAATTACCAAACGATGGATGCCACAAGCAACTCAGATGCAGGCCTTGGTTCAAGGAGGAGCTCTCTGGAGCACTCAGTGCAGGGTGTGGTCCCTGAAGAACAAGAGAATCCTGAACCAAGGAGGCAGAGAGGGGCAGAGAAAGTGCCCCAGACAGCAGAAATGAAAGGCAAGGGAGCAGGGAAGGATAGGGCGATAGGGGAAGTTGGATGGCAATATGGTTTGTGTATAGGTGTCCCCCACAAAGCCTCATGGAGTCATGGGGTGGCTTCTTGAGTTTGTGATTGATTACTGTGGGTGAGGACGCTGTACCTGCCCTGGGGAAGGTAATTTGCATTACAGCATATGGAGGTGAGAGAGGATAACTACTGCGCCTCCCATTTGCTCTTTGCTCCTTACTGCCACCAAGAAAGCTTGTTCTCTGCCATGTGCCACTCCTTCTGCCTTGGAGCCAGCTGAGTATGGACTGAAATCTCCAGTAACTGTGAGCTAAATAAACCTTTCCTTCCCTCATTTTGAGTGTCAGGTATTTGTCCCAGCAATGAGAGAAGAGTAACTGAGTCAGATGGATTTATGTCCTTTCATCAGTTTAGAGAAACTTTGTAGCAAATCAGGAGCTGGATTGCAAAAAAAATACTATCATAGCAGAAAATACTCTAATGTTCAACAATAAAATTTTTCAACAAAGACAAAAGGCAAGGAACTTTTTATAGATCAAACTGCTGACAGTTGAATTTCACGACTGCTAAGAACTATAACCAGGCATTGATGGCAAATGCCTATAATCCCAGCTACTTAGGAAGCTGAGGCAGGAGGATCACAAATTCAAGGCCAGCTTAGGCAACTTTGCAAGCCCCTGTCTCAAAATAAAAAAATAATAAAGAGGCCAGGGACATAGTTGAGTGATCTTTGGACTCAATCCTCAGTACCATAAAAAAAGCAAAAGTCATATATTTTAATCCATTTCTCAGTAATCGTGAAGCTAAAATCTAAGACTAGAGAAGTATAATCTCAAAGGAGGAAATGTCAAGTGAACTGGAAGGTCACTCTTCCCAACATATTAAGCAAGTCTCTCTCACTGAAAAATTTTTCTCCTGAGCCACTGAACTAATTAATGAAACACTTACTACTGTTTCTCTAGTCTATGTTTAAAAACTAATGCCCACAGAGAGTCGCACATGAGATGATGTCATCAGGAGTCTGTGACTTGTCAGCAGAGGCATTTTAACAATTCCCAAGTACAATGACGAGCTAGTCTCCGGCTGTCCAGACCTTTCTATCATTTTCTATCCTTTGGTCCATTTGCAAAACCACCATACAAAACGTGTTCTCTCAAACACGATTTCTGTGAATTGGAGCTCCTTTCCCATTATCCCTACAGCCAATGAGCTAAATTTAAAAAAAAAAAAAA